GCTGAAAAAATGACCCCTAATTTACATAAAACTTTTAACTTGGCTAAAAGCTAAGAGCTGGCACTGATTAAGTCTGTAGAAATAGAAAACTAGATAACTTGAAGTCTGGTTAGCTCTCAGCATGTGACTTATTACAATGAATTTTCAATGATAGGCTTTTTCTCATCAGCTGCCATGCAATGAATTCTTGGGAAAGCAAGCTAATTTTTGATATTCAATCTCATTTTAATACGAATGTTTGAAACCAGTTGGTTTCTTTTTGGTGATATCACAGCATTGAGGTTGGAGGGCCTTCTCTCTAGAGGCCATCAAGGCCCCTTTCAGAAACACCCCAGGGGCCATCCAACCTTTGCTGGAGCCCCTGGTGGAAGGCAGGCTGTCTCACTCTCTGTCATTAGGACATCTTTCCTGGAATCTTTCTTCCATCGCTCTTGCTGTGCCCACTGGTGCCAGGCAGAACAAGGGTCGTCCTCTTTGTTCACGATAGCCCTGCAAATGCCTGTCAATATTGTGTCCCCTGGTCTGCGCTTCAGGTAAATCAAACATCCTCAGCTACTTCCGTTGCTCCTTCTCTCCTGACCTTGAAGCCCTTCCACAGCCTCTGGGTGTTGCCCAGTATATTAATGTGTTTCCTAAAATATGTTGCTCAGAATGAAACCCAATGTTAGAATGATATGTTTGGGTCTTTGATTTAGAACTAGTAGAGACTTTAGAGGCCATACAATCGAAGCCTTCCCTTTCCTGGGGAGGAAGCAGAGCCAGAGAGGTGACTTGCCAAGGGCTCTGCAGGCTGCAAGTGGCAGAGCAGGCCTCTCCATTTGTTCTGACCAGTGTTACCTTCCTAAGCCTGCACTCGATGCTTTTCTTGCTGTAATAGAAATGCATTCTGGCTGTGATATTGGTGTTGACTCATACTGAGCTCACAGTCTTATCCAATCCCAGATTTTTTTTCAGGTGAGCTCCTGGCTCTCCAAGACTCCCCCACCTCATCCTTGTGAAATTGATTTTTGGAACCCAAGCCTCAGACTTATTATTTTTGCCTTATTAGATTCAGCCCAGGGTGCTCTGGCCTGTTGAGAGCTTTTTAGATATGGACTCTGGTGTCTGAAAACTTCATTGGCTTTTCTTCTTTCTTCATCCAAGCTGTTGATAAAAAGTTAGAAAGCACAGGGCCAAGAATAAGATCCTGGGGCATTCAATAAAGACTGACCTTAATGACTCCTCTTGGGATCTAGCATTTCAGCCAGTTTTGAGCCCACCTGCTCGAACTATCATCTAGCCCCCACCTTTTTCTCTTTTCCTCAGAAATATCACGAGACTTTGTCAGAGGCTTTGCTCAAGTCTGGGTAAGCAGTATATGCAGCATTACTCTGATCTCCAAGCCTAGTAACCCTGTCACAAAAGAACCTTAGGGTAAATTGGTTTCTCTTTGGTTGATTAAGCTGTATTGGCTCTTAATGGTCATGGTCATTGCTGCCTTTTCTCCGTGTTTGCTAACCAGATTTTAAATGATACATTTTACAATATTGTCATGAGGTGAAGTAAGGCTCATTGGCCTGTAGTCAATATTTTAAAAAATAAACTCAGAAGTGCACGAGGAAGGTTAATCTGCTAAAAAATTATGTTGTACATTCCAAAACCAAATTTTGCTGCTATAGTGATTATCGTGTTGGACAACTGATGGATCTGCTTGGATTTTCTGTGGCATCTAAAGGCTAAATCCTCCTCTGCTCAGCCCCAGGCTATCTTGTTGAAGGGGCTGAACAGTAGAATGTTGGTACAACTAAGGAGTCTGACTTTATACTTCCATCATCCTGGTCCAGTCCTTCTTTGCCTCATCTGTCATCAGGGCCTGTGAAGGCCTCTCTTTCCTCAAATACACCAGATTAGGAAACTTAATCCACAATTGTGGTCACATCACTGTGCTGCTCCCAAATTTCTTCTTGTTTCTCACTCCCTAAGAACTAGATTCCATAGTCCTGGTATTCTAGATCTGGGGTTCTTAGCCCTGGGGTCTGTGGGTAACCTGAGAAGGGCTTCCCCAGAATGACTGCCCAAGGGGCTCAGGACACAAAGAAGTGTGTCCAGCCAGGCTTTCCAGTTCTAATTCATAGCCCCTTCTCTCATCTCCTGTAAGCTCCAGCCAAACACACTACAGTTTGGCTGTCCCAGATAGGTCCCCCATATCACCTCCCTCTATGCCCTTGCCCATACCTACAGCATTCTTCCACTTTGCCACTGTGAATGAAGGCATGAAGCATTTACTAGCATTTACTATGTGCTAGGCCATGTGCCAAGCAACACTGTTCCTGTCTTTAAGGGCTTACATTCTAATGGGGAAGAGAACAAACACATTTAGGAGGGAGGAGAGAGCTGGGAAGTGGTTGGAGGGAGGCCTGGTTTGGACATGGTTGGAAAGAAGTCTGGTGGCTTTTTTTTACCAGGCAAGACTGGTGAAATCTCACCTCTCAAAACCCATGGGCCCAGGGCTGGGGGCTGACCCATTTCCCTCTGGTGAAATTCTGCCCTTTAAGACCTGGGCCAAATCCTTTGTCCAGGAATCTTTCCTGATCCACCCTAGTCAGAAATGGTTTTTCTTCTTTGAACTCTTCTAGCTGTTTACACCTCTTTTATGCACCTGTTCCATTCTGCCTTGATTCATGATTTTGGGTGTCTTCTTTCCTACTAAGCTCCTGGGATGTATGTCCTGTTTATCTTTGTACCCCATATAACACCCTCACACAGGCCGTTGAAGAGAAGTAGGTAGGTAGTCAGTCAATGTTTTGTGAGTGAATGATTTTTTTTGGACCAGACTCGTAATTTTCCTCAGTGTAGGGAGCCTCAGGTGAAGAACTTCCCCTCTCAAGTCAGGGTATTATCTTCACCCTGTGACTTGCCCAGGGTCACATGGCCAGTAGGTATAAAAGGCCTGACTCAAACTCAGGTCTTCTGATGCTGAGGCCAGCTCTTCATCTACCACACCATGCTTCTGGAATGGATATTGACAATAAGAAAGAAAATTGAGTGGCAGAGTATAACCTTTTTTACCATTTATCCATTCTTTTCTATTAATTAGATAATAGGATTAGATTGAGCCAAATAAAGAACCTTTTTCATTTATAAGGGTAACATTACCATGTTTCCACAGCATTTCTCCTCCTCCTCCCCCCAGGCTTAGGGTAAAAAAAGCTATTTCATGAGGGTGATTATATAAGGAAATAAAAACAAAAGGCAACTTGTTCTAAAATCTTTTGTGTTTTAGTAACTGGCTGTGGGGATTTCCTGGTAAGTGGATTTCTGAGGTCAGCTTCTGATTTCTGTTGTTCCCAGAGGTTATAACGAGCTCTGAAGGAAACTCTTTACCCAGGAACCTTCTTGGAGAGCAAAGCCTGGGAAAGGTGGGAGGGAATGAATAAACAATAAAAAAGCTGAAGGAACTACATTTCCCACCTGCTGTCAGCTTCTGTAAGAGTGAGAAAAATGACAAGGCAATAAAGGATTTATTGTTTAAATAAAAACAACTTCCCAGATATAGCACAGGGCCCATGTGGATTTGGACTAATGTGCCTGTGTTGAGAGCACTCTGTGATAATGTTCCATTGGTGATGAATGAGATGAAGAGAGTCAGTCATTATCAGGGACTCTGCGTGTGGTGGTGTGTTAGGGAGTGAGTCACTGCCACATCATCTGTCTTTGAGGAGGCCAAACCCTGGAGCAGAGGTTAAGGTCAACACTAAGTGAAAAGGAAGGATGAAGACTGTGCAGTTACTGTAGTTCCCGTCTGACTTATTCAAATGAGCCATTGGCAGAGAAAATGGGAGATGGGTAAAGGAGAAAGTCGGATTCTGATCCTTACCATTTTCTGCATGTTTCATAGGATCCTAGATCCTTCCACAGACCTGTAAGGAAACTTAGAGCTCACTTAGGCCATGTTTTATAGATGAGAGGACTGAGGTCCAAAGAGGTGAATTAATAAGTCCTCCTCCCTCAGGCTCCTCTCCTCGCTTTCAAATTGATCCTCCCAAATAGCCAAATGGATAGCCCTAAGGCACGGGATCTGACCACATGACTCTGAGAGTAAGGGCTCCTACTGTCCTATGCCAGTGGCTCTTAGCTTCCTCTGGGAACTACAGGCTCCTCTGTTCGGCATTTCAAGCCCTTCCTATTCTGGCACCAGCCTATTTGCAGACTGATTGTTGTACAAGGTAGTATTTGAACCAAGCTTTGAAAGCAGCTAAGGATTCTAAGAAGAGGTGAAGAGGGTGTGCATTGGAGTCATGAGGCACAGCCAGTGCAAAGCCATGCATCGGTTCAGGGAAAATATGCAAGGGTACCAGTAAGCAGGCCAAATTTAGGCATCATGTAGACTCCGCACTGTAGAGAGCAGAGGAGGAGTAATTTGGAATCAGTTTGGAAATAGATTGGTGACCACTGAGTGGAAGCTGGCCTGGAATGGGGTGAGACTGGAGGCAGCCAGAACTCCGCCCCATCCCCCACCCTGCCAGCAGCTAGTCCAGATGTGAGGTGATGAGGGCCTGCACCAGGGTGAGGGAGGGGGCAGTGTCAGGAGAGAAGGAGGCCTATTGGAGAGATGTTGCAGAGGTGAAATTGACAAGAGATGCTGCAAGGGTGGGGGGGGTTGCGTGTGTGAAATAGACAAGAGATGGGGGGGCGGGGGTGTGTGAAATAGGCCTTGACAACAGCTTGGATATGGGGGCGCAGAGAGTGAGGAGTCCAGGATAACTACGAGGTTGTGAACCTGAGGGACTGGGGGGGGGGAGAGTTGGACAGTGGTGCCCGGGGCACTGGTGGCAAACCCGGGCTGCGTTGTAGCCAGGAGCTCCTCTTGCTCTGGGGGTCGGCCATCGACTGAGCTTGTGGGCTTCTGCTGTTGCGCACGCGCTCTTGGCTCGCTTGCTCCAGGCGTGACCGGTCGGACCTGGCTGACGGCGCGCTCGCTCGCGCGTGCGCGCTCTGTGTCTCTGTGCTTGACTCGGCAGGCCTGGCGCAGTGCGCGGAGCTCTGCTGGCAGCTGCGTGGGGAGGCGGGCCCGAGGCAGGTTCCGGGGGCGAAGGTCGCGCTGCAGCATAACCTGGGCCTTGGCGGAGCGGCGGTAGTGACGCTCTACAGGATGGGCTTCCCCGACAGCGCTGCGGCGGCCGGCAGGTGAGGCGGGGGCCCGGGACGGGGCGGGACCCTGCGGGGAGCCTCGCTGAGGCCGAGGCGTCACCCTCACCCCCAGACTCGCCCGCGTGGGGCTGCCGCGCAGGGGGCGTTCTCCCGCCGGCGTGCAACAATTAAGCACCTGCTGTGTACCGGGTGCTGGCGGACGGGCCCAGGCGACATGGAGCAGGCCCGGGGGCCCCGGCCGGAGAAGCCCCGGAGAGGAGGGGGCGTGGGAGGGCTTGGATCGGCCGAGCCGGCCGTAGTTCTGGGCTGGGGTGCGGACGCTGAGCATAGAGAAGGGGTTTTGGAGGTGACGCCTGGCCGTCCCCCCATCTCTGAATGGTGAAAAGATGGGGACTGGCAGTGTTCAGAGGAAGAAACCCCAACCGTCGTCAGCCATGTGAAATGCTCTAGGTCACTGCTGATTGGCCGAGTTGTGGGGCTGTGGGATGTCAGGTGCATTAGTTCATGGCTGGCAGAGCTGTCAGCTAGCCCACCCATTCTGGAAAGCAGTTTTTTGTTTTGTTTTTGTAGGCAGTGGGGTTAAGTGACTTGCCCAAGGTCACACGACTAGTGTCAAGTGTCTGAGGTCACATTTGAGCTCCAGGACCAGTGCTGTGTCCACTGCACCACCTAGCTGCTCCCATAAGGTTTTGAGTTACAAATTTTCTCCCCATCTCCGTCTGCCCTCACGCCACCCCAAGATGGCATGCAATCTGGTATAGGCTCTACATATACATTCCTATTCAGTAATGCCATCATTGAGGCCATTATTAAGTCTGTATTCCGAGGAGATAGAAGGAAAAGGACCCAGAAGTACAAAAATATTTATAGCTGTTCCTTTTTCTAGGGCAAAGAACTGGAAATTGAGGGGATGCTGAGCAATTGAGGAATGGCTGGACAGGTTGTGGTATATGATTGAGATGAACTATCATTGTGTTTTAAGACACGATGAAGACTTGTTGAGTCCTTTTTCAACTCTTTATGTCCAGCTCTTCTTGGCCCCATTTGAAGTTTTCTTGGCAGAGATGCTGGAATGGTTTGCCATTTCCTTCTCCAGCTCATTTTACAGCTGAGGAGACTGAGGCAGATAAGGCTAAGTGACTTGCCCGGGGTCACATAGCTAGGAAGTGTCTGAAGCCAGATTATTTGACTCACCTTGACTGGGTGCTCTATCCACTGCACCATTTAGCTGCCCGAGGAAGATGCTGAGAAATGTGGTGAAACTTGTGTGACCTGATGCAGAGTGAAGTGAGCAGAGCCAGGAGGAAAATTTCTAGGATAAGTGTGTTGTAAAGACAAGCATCTTTAAAAGCTGTAAGCTGTCTGATCAACCGAATGACAAATCTCAATTCCAGAGAGTTTATGATGAAACATGCCACCCACCCACAGATTGTGATCTGTGTGATTGTAATCAGGCTGCAGTTTGAGACATGTTGTTTTTGAATGTGGCCAGTGCAGGAATTTGTTTTGCTTAACTATACAGGTTTGCAATGTAGGTTTTGTGTTCCTTTCATTCTCAGTGGGGGAGGGGAGAGAGGTGGGAAGGAGAGAAAGGAGGCTCTTCATAAAAGAAAAGTTAAGAAATACTGGACAGCCAGTTGGGTATGTGGCAGATGAGGGGAAGTAAATAGTAGCAGAATGTAGCTGACTCCTGTGTCCACTACAATGTTTAATCTCTGGTGAGGCTAAAAAGAGAGAAAAAGAGAAAGAAAGAGAGAGAGAGAAATCATGCGGACCAGGGGGTAGCAAGTTATGAACAAGCTCCATTTATTGATCTGAGGGTTAGGGTTATTATACCCCATTCATGGGAACAGAACCCAGAGTGGAAAAAGCCAAGTATCAACAATTAATTTTTCTCATGGTAACGGTAACTGGGGGGGGGGTTTCCCCCCAGAGTCGTCTCCTCACTTCCCGATTATCTTTCAAGGTTTATTGAAAATCCTTCATCCTCTCAAGGGACAGACAGCACCTGGAAGAGGTCGGAGAGCCTACGTTCTAACCTAGACGGCTCTTAGATAATGGACAGGAACATCATACCTATATCCTCAAACCCATCAGTGCAAGCCCTCAACAGCAGAAGGATGCCAACTTACCAACCTGGATGACTTTCAGTATGGTGGTATCCTCAAAGAAATGGGAAAGTTAGGGAGAGGAGGGGAGCATTTGAGGGAAAGATGAGTGCTTCTGTTTTGTACATAGGAAGATAGGATGTTGAGTTTACTATGCCTATGAGACGTTTGTTTGGAAATAAGACCAGCACACTGACTTGGGCTAGAGATCCAGGTCTGGGAGTCATCTGTAGAGAGACGGTAGTTGAACCTGTGGAGACTGAGGAGATCACTGAGTGTAGTGAGGGAAGAGAAGAGAGCCCAGGATGAGCCTTGGGGGAGACTCACAGTGAGGTGTGGGATGCTGGGGATATACCGATAAACAAGATGAAGGAATGGCAGACAGGCCAGAGGAGAACTGGGAGAGAAGAGCATTGTGAAAACCGAGCAAGGAAGGAAGTGGTGAGCGGAGTCAGAAAGGATGGGAAAAGACACTGAATTTTTCAGTTGAAAGATCACTAATAAACTAAGGTCGTGTGGGAGTTACTGAAGGAGCCAGGGCTGGAAGCCAGCTCTCCAGCACTGTATTACTGCTTTCACCAGGCCATTGTCCTCATTTAGATTCATCCCCCTTTGTTGAAAACTGTGAGGGCCTTAGCTTCTGTTTTAAACAAATACATTTTTAGTGACTTTTTTTCTGGTCTTACATCACCTAGATTTTCCTCTGGATCCAGAGAGCCAGTCTTTATGACGAAGGTTGACCTCAGTGTCTTGTGAGAATGCTGGCACTTTCACTTATTTATCTGAAGGATCTTTTTTCCTAAAGGAGATCCTGTCATTTTTACTTAAAGGTGACCCAGGTATTTGTAGCTGTGCGTTCTGTTCAAGTCTGTACAGGCTCATATAGCCTGGAAGTTGTCGGTTGGGAAGTTCTGCTGTGTAGCCTCGTTAAGTCACACTGATTTTATCTGTCTGGAGCGATCTTGTAGAAGCTCCATGGAGCAGTTAAAAAAACTTAGTGGCACCTGCTGTGTTCCCAAACCGGATCCACTTACCGCCAGGCATCGTTTGAGTAGCATTTGGAGGCAGCCTGATGGAGCTGACCAGCTAGCAGATTCACAGTCAGGAGACTCGCACTGGGGTTCCCCATGGGATGTCCCCTCGAAGAGCCTCAGTGTGGCCCTAGTTTTAGACATCGAGTACCTCTCTCCCTGCTGTTGTGAGGATGCAGTGAGGAAGGTATGCCCGATGCTTTCTGAGTTGCCACTTGGCCAGAAAGGGAGTAAGAAGAGATCTCTTGAGCTCATGTCCCGAGTCAGAGGCCAGTGGCGAGGTATCGGCAGGAAAGTATGGGCTCCAGGGTCAGAGATTCTGGGCTCACATCTTGCTTCTGACACCTCCTGTTCCATCTTGAGCAAATCAGTTCACCTCTCAAGGTCCCAGTTTCCCCCTCTGTGAAAGAATGAGGGAGGAAGTTTGCCTAAAATGGCCTGAGGTCTCCTCCACCTCTAGACCTTGGACCCCTAGCATCGTAAATCGTTCTTATCACTAGAAAAATGAGAACATTTATTTTTCCAGAAAATCTTTCCTAGGTAACCATGGGCAAGTAGACACATGCACAGAATGTAGACATCTTGTCCTAAGCCAACTGGTATTTCATCCCACGGTGATTGACCTAGTTTAAAGGGCACCTTTCTTCTTTTCGACCCTGGCTATGTTCTCCCCCACCAGGTAAGACTGAATCTTCTGCTGAAGCTTTCTTCCATCACTTACTGGCCCATCCCAAGATATGCCAGTAGCCCTTCCTGGCCTGACTTGCCTCCAAATTCCCCTTCTCTCATTTTCACTAGATCATCCACCACCTACCTCCTCCTCCTCCTCAGAGTCTTTCCTGATTGCTCCCAGGTTTCACATTCGCTCCCTCCTCTGAACCCCAAGTAATGCCTTGTTAGAACCTAGTTTTAGTCACTTATTTTACCCACAAAATTATGTGTTTTTTTGTCTTCAGATGCCCCAGAACAGCTGTGACAAGGCCTTCTGTGTTGTGATGTTGAGTCATTTTTTTGTTGAATACATGACAGCCCCCTCTAAATACCCTTTGCAGTCAGCTGTTCCTTTCCCTGCACTCTCAGCCGGCTGGGGTTTCTCTGTGCCTCTGTCTCATCCTCCCATTTCCATTCCTGGAGACCGTTCCCCACGCTTGAGCAGTCACTATGGTCACTTCGGTCATTGCTCTTTGAAATCTTGCTCTTCTTTCTAGGTACCACTCGGGTGCAGCCTCTTCTTGGAGCTTTCCCTACCACTCTCAGACTGAAGGTGCCCTCTTCCTCTTCCAGTTTCCCTGAATCACACTTCTTCTTTCTGCAAGCAGCCACATGGCACATTCATCCAGGTTACATTGCTGTTTAGGTTTAGGCTTATGCTTCTCAAGAGGAGCAACTGTGTTGTCTTTGATCTTGTATCCCCAGCTCTGTATTTGTTGAATTAAACTGAGTTTTAGATTTAGTGATTTCGGAAAATCGTCACTTTTTGAAGCAGTTAATTGGAGAAGACTTCATTAGAAAGCATTCAATAATAAATTCATACAATTCTCTGTCCAGTTTTCTCATTCCCCTGCTCCAGAACTGTGAGTGCCATAGTCTAGAAAAATAAGGACTGACAAAGGTTAAGAGTAAAGCCAAGGCTGGTAAGAAAAAAATAATTATAATTTAATACCATAGTGTTTTGAGGGTTTTTTTTAATATGGAAAGGTCTTATGAACCAGTAAAGCTATTTCAAAGTGAAAAAACAAATAGAAAACCCAATATCTAGCCCTGCATCATCTGAATAAATATTTACCTTGTATTATGCCCCAGGCAGGATTTATATTCTTTTAGAAAAAATAGTGAAGGAATTTTAATGAATTGCTTTTAAGCATCAGCTTAAGGAATCACAACTTTAGAAAACAGA